TTTGCTGTGTAAGCACTAGTTTTGTTTTATATTGAGTGTGATTTAATCATTTCGATTATAGTGTTTTTGTTATACAAGTTTGAATATTAGAAGAAAAATTTAGGTTATGGAATGTATATGGGACACAGATATAATCATTTAATCTAACTTATACCCTACCAATTCATACCTTTCCCTATTTCTCTTATTTTCGTTCAATTTTATAAAAGAGACTAAGAGTATGTGAAATGCAATATTAAAAATGCACATTCAAAAATATACCAATTTCAATTGATTTTAAAATAGTCCCTGAACATTATTTTTACTACAAATTTTAATAAATTTGGTTGTTGATTCATTATATTATATAAAATACATAATATAAGGTTATTGTAATGTAAGTTAGATACTATCAGCATTTAAATGTTGTTTAGCAAATTATTACTGATTTTATACTATGACCAATTACTTTAATTCTCTTTTTCCCTCAGTATCAAATGTCTGGTTTTACTGTTATAAAATGTTATGAGCTTTTTTAATACCATATATATATTTCCCGGAAAACGTTTGCTCTTAATGCTTTAATTAATTACTTAATTTTTTGAGTGGAAAACAAAAATTGCCATCTGAATAAAAAAATTTTACCATGAATGACGCATGACTTGATGTTGTTCTAATTCCAAGGACTTGCACTTTTTTAAAATATTTATTGAATGATGCAACGTATTGAGCGTTAATTACATATTATCGTTGAGGAGCTAAATTAGTTTAATATTAAGCACTAATATTCGAGTTTAAATAATTTTCGAATTCGGGTTTAAATAACTTTAACAGTAATTCAATACAGTCATATGCCAAAAGCTCCACATATGTAAGTGAGAGTTTATGTCTGTATAAGTTCTAAATAAAAAAAAAAGAATAAATAAACTGAAAATTTTGAGAAAAAACCATACTTATAAAATTTTTACTTTTAAGAATAAAATTTTTAAAAATAAAATAAAATATTTTTTCAAAAGTGAGAAATTTTTTCTTTTTTTTTTCCCTCCCAAAAATGACAGCGAATTTAAAAGTTTCGAAACTTAAAAATTTCTTCAAAAAAAAAAAGTTTTTCTTACATTGACGAAACCTTTTTAGATCGGCAATAAAAGTTTAACAAGAGAGAAGAAAATAAGAGAAAAACGAAATTCTGCCAAAAAATTTTAAGTTTTGAAGTGTTGTTCTTTACCTTGTATATGCTGATTTTTCCGAAAATCTTTTAGTTTTTCTTGTAATTTTTAAGGGAAAAAAATCAAAATACAAATAAAAGGAAACGAAAAATACCTCAAGTTTTAAAAGTTTCAGCCAGGACAGTTTTGACAAGATTTTGAATATTTAAAATAAATTTTTTTTTGTTATTTTGTGTTCCTTTTGAATTTTATGCCAAACAATAAATAATTCTTGTTAAATCTTTATTATCGGAACAGCTCTTCTCTATAATAGAGTTATGGTACATATTGACATTTCAAAAATTATTTTGAAAATTTTTAGAAAATAAAAAGCCAAAACTTTTATTCTGATATTAAAAAAGTTTCAAAAATTATTTAAACTTAGAATATACAACGAAAAAGAGAAAATAAATAAATAGCACTCAAGGATGTTAAAATTAAACTATAAAAAAGTACCTTGTTATTATTAGAAATCTCATTTCTTATTAATTTCAAAAATTTCCAAATGAATATTTTACTATTAATTTCTAATTAACATCCTCTATGTAAAAACATGTTGGGAAGTGATAGGTTTATGTTGCTTGGGAGCTGAATTTAAGACTTTACAAAAAAATATTTTATTGTAAATTTTTTGGTTATTCTTTGCATTATTCAACAATTTTTTAATAGACAATCTGTATTAGTGGATCAATTGTAAATGTATTAGTTGCCAGTTTAGTTATACAATAAGTGATTACCTAAGTTGAAAAAAAGAAGATTTTAAAACCAAATAGACCATCTCAAAGTCCTCTATGGATAGTAGTTATTTTATGTATACACAATAAATATAAAACCAGGATAATATGACTCTTTAAATGGAGAAGTTCTGCCACAAATTTTTCCCATATATTGATATACTTTTCAATAAATTAATAGAAATTATATTTATAGAGTATAGAAGGAGATTTAATGAAGACTAAGATTTGGCATACTTTTGCAAATTATACGGTTTTTCCATAAACAAATAATGTAAGAAACTTTTGCAACCCGTGTCTTTTTCAATTTTTGTTTGAAAATGGAATATAACTCTTTAGAAAAAAAACGTGAAAGTAACTTTTGATTTTTATGTCATTTCAAATTTTATATAACCAGTATTCTCGTACTCATAATGCTTACAGCTTCTGTAAAATTCAAGTTCAAGAAGAGTTCAACAATCTAGCTGACAAAAAATCAACACAAAATATTAACAATCAGTTTTATAATTTCAAAAATATTTGAAATTTCTGACTTTTAAAACAATTTTGGAAATAAGCACTTTTCCCGAAAACTTTTGAAAAAAATGCTTATTTTTCAAAGTTTCGCTCTATCCGTCCGTCCGTCAGCCCATCCGTTCGTCCGTCTGGCCGTTCCTCCGTCAGTGGACATGTTTACAAAACTTTTACACACTTGAATATAGAAAGCTAAAATTTTATATGCACATAGATCTTTTCTAGAAACTTTTTCCGTAGAAGAAAATTTTTATCCATCTCGCTCCCTCTAAAAATTATACCCCCTCAAAACCCTATAAATGACATTTTTCAACTTTTTGTTACAGCGAAACCGCAAGCATTTTTCAAATTTTGCAAACACAAAAAAATAGTTTCTGGTTTCCTCTACTGCTACGTACCGTTACCTTGAATCAGTTTTTTCAAAATTTTGATATCGTTTTTCTTTTAGACCTCAGGTTGTAGGAGACTGAAATTTTAGCTTTTCATAGACAGACAGATAGTTCATTTCGTTAGAAGAATATTTTTTGTCACCTACTTCTACCCACTCTCAAATTATCGCCTCTGAAAATTTGTAAAATTCGTATTGCTGGCACCTTATATTTCCGAAACTGCAGGCTTTTCGACATTTTTATAAATACAGAAAGCTAATAAAAGCTTATTTTGGTTTATATCAAAGATTGAATACATTGCTTATCCTAAACGTACGCAATTTTTGAAATATATTCGCATATGAATGAAAGTAATTTTAATAATATAGCACATCGCTAGATTGTTTTTAAAAGCAGTATTTTCGTTACTTCTTGAATGGAAAACTGCTATATTATAAGCCATTGGTTTGACCCTACTTTGTGTTTTTTTTTTGCATTTGAAAGTTTACGATAATACATACATATATGCATATACATTCTCTTTATAAGCATTTTCATGCATAAACATTTTTAATTTATTTTCTTTTTTGTAATTTGAAAAAAAATTCAATGAACTTGGATTTTATTATGTTTATTTTAATTTGCAATTAAAAAATAATTGACGAATGGTGTTAATGACTTTAACTTTAATGCATTAATAATAACAATAACTTTCAAAGTTAAAAGAAATTGGTAATTGAAAGCAGTCCGCAGCAAAAATAAGGGTTTTTAGCGCATATACAATTAGCTATAGCACTTCTGCATAAATGTAGCTTACTGTACGATGAAATTAACAAAAGCAATTAATACGCATATAAAATGTAGGCCAGAACAAAAGATCAGCTCCTGAAATTAATTGCCTCAAATTTTCAAATTAAATAGGAGGCACAAAACAAAATAACTATGAAAAACGGAACAGGCCTCCTTGAAATCGAAAAGGCGAAATGTCAAAAAACGCATCAACACAGCATTTTATACGAATAATAATATTAACAAATCTTCTTAAATCAAATTTTCCACCCATTCCAAATATGTACATACAAAAAAAACAAAGAGAAAGAGAAAACAAAATTTGTTTTTATTCATCCCCCTATTCACCTTCCCGAGCTCCAATCAAATAATGTGAACATGGGTATTTAATAAAGTATATTCATAAGTACCATATATGTGTTCATATTATATACATATATGTATATATATTCATTTACCCAATAAATAAAAATCATAAAGGAGAAAAAAGCAACATGAATAAAAAAAAATAAAAGACAAAAGTTGTAACGACCTCATAAATTATTTAATAAATTGTTTGACTTTGTGGGCTGATAAAATTTTCTTTTCTTATAGCGCGCATTTCCCAGAGTGTTAAATTCATCCGAATATATTATCATGTGTATGTATGTATGTAAGAACGTATGTCTGTATTAAATGTACCAAAGTAACAGAAGAAAAACAAAAAAATTAAAAAGGAAAAATAAATATAAAATAAAAAAGTTACACACAACAAAAAAAAATGTAAAGAAAAATTAAAAGACAACATCAAAACTCATTATAAAAATAAACATTTAACACCCCGCCGAAATGAATGACAATGACAATAATATGACATGCGAGCGAACAAAATCATAAAGGTGTTTTTTTTTCATTCCTGTTTTTGTTGGTTTTGATGTTACTTTCGTTGTAATTCCTGACAATTTTTATTTTGATACACGAACACGAATTTTATTTGGAGCAGTCAGTCAGTTTATAGTATATTAAAAGTGGAAAAGGAGATGACAAAAAAATCCTCTATTACTGAATTTTTTCCTTTTTTTTTGCACAAAATAACTGGGGAGAATTGCCATATAACCAGTTAAAATGCTGGTAAAAAAGCAAAAAAAATATTGTATGTTTTTAAGTAATAAATCTCTAAAAATTCTAGCATTGTTGTTAGTAATAAATTTTTTGTTATTTTTAATTTAAAATTATAAGACTTGCATTGATCTCATTGAAACACACGAATATTATTGTGATTTTTCCAACGTAATGTTTATAATGCTTTTGTTTTTCCTGATTCCACAACAGTGACAATAAATTAAGAAAATTTTTCATTTCTAATATAAAACAATTTCTTTCAACTTTTTGTTCTTACAATATTGCCGAAGAACATTAGTATAATTGGAGGAATGGATCGTTTACAACACAAACAACATAATATCGCAAATTCGTATAAAGAAAACAGGGTATTTTTAAAAGTCAAGATAATGAAATTTTTTTATATAATGAAAGATTCCAGTTTAATGTTAGTCTAACATTTAGACATGCTTTTTAAACCTGTTATTTTTAAAGTTTTCCATTTTTGTTCAGAATATTTAGTTCCGATAAAATTTTACCAGCAGCTTTTCGTATTTCATAATAATTAGACTTCCCTTTGCAGTCTAGCAGTTGCAGTTGAATGCGTTTTTCGTCATTTTTAACACGGTAATAAATTCTAGCAGAAAAAATTTTCTATGGCATAAAAAAAAATTTAAAACAAGTAAAAACGTTTCAGTCGGTACGAGTATAAACCGATTGAATTATACCCTGCACCTTTCGTTGTTGTATGGCAATTACTCAAACCTGTGAAATCATTCTATAGAAACTTCACAGATATGTCTGACCTATAACTGGACACACAACTGCCAAGTTTCATGAATCTGACTTTATTATTTTTCCAAATATTTAAAATAAGCTTTTTGGCTTATTTTAAAATATCTTTGACCTATAATTGGACACACGACTGCCAAGTTTCATGAATCTGACTTGATTATTTTGCCGAATATAAAAAATTTGCTTTTGGAGTTGTATGGCAGCCACTCGAACCGGTGCAGCTATCCCATTAAAATTTTTAGAGCATATGTAGAATATAATTGGACACATGTATACAAAATCTTATATTTGTACCTTTATTAGTTTTTGAAATATTTAAAATAAACTCTTTGAGTTGTATGGCAGCTACCCGAACCCGTTGTCCAAATTGGTCCAATAACAATAGGGTTCGTCCTTGGCACAAAAGAAGCAACTTGTGAAAGTTTGGTGTCGATTGCAGAATTTTACGCTGAGCAAGAATATATATATATGTCCATACCGCAGATGACTCCTTCAAGTAGTTACAAACTCCATACCAAAGTTAATATACCCTTCACGAAGTGCAGGGTATAAAAATTTGTTCATACCGTTCTTCTATTCCCCATAGCACAAACATACGTGTACGAGTATAAAAACGAAAACAAAAAAAAAACTGAACGTTTTTTTTCTTACCCACTCTATAAAGAGAAAAACCATTGAAAATTCCAATGATGTACTTGTACACATACATATTTATAATGACGTTGATAACGCAAATTTATTATCATGACTTATGATTAGAAAACTGGGGAAGTATAAATTTTCTATTTGAGAAAAACAAAAAAAAAACGTATAACATTTTCCATTTCTAGAATTAGAAAAGGACCAAAAATTTTTTTTTTGTTTCGATATTTTATTACATGAAAAATTGGGGTATAATTTTAGAACGTGAAAAATGAAAAACCAAATATTTCCAACTTTAAAGTCTAAAGAATAAAAACCCCTTAATAAAGTGTATATAAACAATTTTAATAAATAAGTGAATTAAAGTCATTTGCAGTTTTCGCATCACATGAGTAATTTTATACTACATAACTACATACATAGTAGCAATTGCAATCACAATAATTTGACATATAAAATGTTAAAGATAACATAATAAATGAGCTTAACGTAAACAAACCATAGTGTCCCAGAAAAGTACAATCCGTATTGGAAGTAAAATTGTCCAAATGCTTTAAATTCAATTTTTTACATAAAATTTTATGAATTTTTTAGATTTTGTTCTAGATTCTTCCATCTACAAACATATGCACCCATCTAACTCACTTATTTAAATTCACATCATTTCATTTTGTGCCATGTAGGAGTCATTTAAAGAACAAATATAATGCTAGGGTTAAAAATTATTAAATATAGGAAATAATGTCGACCCGGGTCTCTGAAAGGACACATAGGTCACTTAGACTCATTGTAGAATAGAAGAGCTTTTGTGAAAATGACAAATTTATTTCAATTATTGCTATAAGTGACTATAGTATATTTGAGGACTAAAATTGATATCTAGATTCACATATACGTGTACATAAGGAAACATGGGAAATAAAATTCATAGAACTTATTGCATTAGTACTTGTAGGTTGATTACTAAAATTTTACATGCAAAATAAAATAATGTGAATTAAAATTTAAAATAGCGTATAGTTTTCCATACCATGTCAAGTAAAACTAAAAACCACAGTGCATCATTTAGATTCCTATTCGATGCAGAGATATTTTATTAGAAAGAGCGAAATTTAAGAAAAAAAAAACAAAATATTTTTGGTACGTTATACAACACTTGTATATTTATAGGCAATTACATATGTACATAAAAAGTACATAAATATGTTCATGTATGTACTATGTATGTAGATATGATGACAATTCAAGACATGTGGAAAAGATTTGTCATTTTAAAAGTCCAACATGAAATTCATCTAAGTTATTGGTGTAGAATTTTTTAAAAAATTTTTTCATTATTTTCTTCTATATATGCACTTTTTTACCGACCGTATTGTGTAAACAATAGGTAGGTTATGTGATGGCAACAAATTTTGTATATCGAGTTTTCGGTGGGAATGCACTTCTCCATAGTAGGGAAGTGTAGGTAAACTATTTTTAGCAACCTGTCGGTCCGTCGGTCTGTCGGTCTGTCGGTCTGCCGGTCTGTGTGTGCACGCGTTTATCTCAAGTTCGGCTGAACCGATTTTGGTGAAATTTTACATGTAACTTTATTTCCACCATGGCACGGATTGATCAACTTTTGGTATATATCAGGCCTCGGGAACAGCACTTTATAGCGGGCCTGTTTTACATTTTTGAACATTTTGAAGAAAATATTCAACCGATTTACTTGAAATTTTATATATAAGCTCAGCTCGACCGTCCGCAAAAATTCCTATGTTTGGGAAGAAATCAGGCATCGGCAACTAGACGTTTACTCCGGGCCAAACATACACTTTTGTGTATATAAGGAGAAATAATCAACCGATTTCATTGAAATTTAATATATGAATTCCTCGTATTAAAACAATGAACATATAAATTTTTTGGAAAGATCACGGCTCGAAAACTGATCTGCGGGCCGATTTTACATTTTTCACCATAATCTACGGAACGAATTGATGGAATTTCTTGAAATTTGATATTTGAGTTCTGGTTGTTACCAAAGCTAACTGGCGAGCATTTCAGGGAATTCGGGTTGCATAAAGCGAAACTCTACTAAGAGCCAAATTTACATTTTTCTAGGTATGTTAACTATAAGCTTACTAATGTCCTAAAAATTGGAAAGAAGTATTTAACAGACATTTTTATAATATTCTGTAGCACTTTCATTTAACTAGACAATACACAATGCGGTCGGTTATGTGCTGACCACATCAGATTTTTTTTATATAAAATGCACTAATCTAGTTTAGAATAGTTGCAGCGAACCTATGGATTATGTTATTATGTAGTGACACTAATTTTTTTATGTATATGAACACATACGTAGATTTTTTTTTACTAATATGGATTCAGTATAGATCACGATGACAAAAAAGGGAAGAACAAAAAGCAAAAAGAAATTTATTTGGAATTTTATTTAGACACATGAATTATGCGATTTAATCTATCAAAAATGTCGAGTATTTTAGAAAAATTATCTGAGCTGCATTTTTTAGCTGGTTGTTCCATTTTTTATTTTTTTTTCTCTTAATTTATGTTCAATATTTTAACTTATAAATGGAAAAAAAATGTAAAATATTTTTTTAGAGATTTTAATTTTTTTTTTCACAAAAATGAAAAAATTTTAATTGAATGTTGATGATGCACAAGGAAGTTGTTCCTTTTTTTCTATTGTGTTTTTTTCTTTATTTTACTTACCAAAGAGGAAGTACCACATTAATTTTCAATAAAATATTGTTATTCCAAATATTTAAAAAAAAATTATATTTATAAGAAATTGGAGGATTAATTTCGTTTTTTAATTATAATTAGCAACTATAAAATAAGCGAGTTTATTAACAGCAATCTAATAATTTTTAGAATAAAAGATTAATTATCAAAATGCAGTTGTGAAATATACTTCATACTAAATTGGACAATTAAAGAAATAAATCTTAAAAAAATTGGGAAAAGAGATGTTAATAAATCTTGCTATACTTTGCAGTTATACATCGTCAAATTAATTAATAAAATGGACAGAGTCATGCAGTTATACAACCAAAATTTAATAAAACGGAATTCAAAGATATGAGCTGCTTGCAGTTTTTTTGGGTCAAACTTTTAACTCTTATCTTTCCATTTATTTACATGGATTCCCATTTATATACATACATATATTTTTCGGGGGTCCTAAAATATGATCAGTGAAAACTTTAATAAAAGTGCGGACTGTCGATAATATAATAAATTTGTGCTATGGATATTTTAACAAAGTGAGTGATTTTAATTATATCGATCATTCAATTCAATTATTCATTCGATAATTTGATAATTTTAACTTAAATGAAACCCCTATTAAATTATTAACATAATATATGAATTAGAAAAATTGCTATACCTACGAGTATTATTATATTAGTAAAATATTCAATAATACTTCATCAGCTTCTGAAATTGGAGTTATGCAATAATTTAATGAAAATTTCAAAAACATAAAACAATATTTTCAAATTTATCTTACCTCCATTTCATTTATTATGTATGTGCGCTTCTGCAGTGTATCACATTTTTTTTTAATCGGTGAAATTATTTTGCAACCACGGAGGTGTGTTAAGTGAAAAATCTAGAGAGAACATAATTTTTTCGAATGGAAATATAAATGTAATATGAATATGCATGTATAAAAATTTGAAATTTTCAATTGTACGTACATTTTCCAGTAATAAGTTTTATCAGGTTCTATGAATATACTCGTATGTATGTTTTTGTGTTTTCTTAAATAGCTTTGGAAATCCTAATTACGAAACATGTTTTTCATTTAAAAAGAAATTAATTATTGCCGGTGATTTTAATTGTACTGTTCTGTTAAAAAATTTGCCAAAATTTTTCAGTATTTATTAAATTATTTAAATAATATTTTTTATGGATATATTTCGCTTAATCTCGAATAACTATGTAATTCCGGAACTACTATCGAATTATTGTATACCGAATCATGTTATAGAAATTGTAGAAAAAATAATATGACCCTTGTTAATTCTTATTTAAATTAATTAAAAAAAAATAATATTAAAATCTTGAATTGTCAATCAGTCTTCAAGTTTTGACGAGAATGTTACATAATTTTAATTTTAATTCAAAATCTCATGACATTAATACAATAGTAAAGCAACTTTTAAGCGTGTATATGGTAAGCAATTTCTTTTTAAGGTGGTGGTGTGCGGATATATGGTTTTAAAAGTAATTCAACATAGCTACTACAAATTATCACTTCATTCTTGTATCAATTTTCTTCTCTTAATAACTGATATATTTGCTTACTACAATTAAATGATCTTTGTTTTTGGGTTTTCGTTTATTTTAGAACTTGTGACATTTCATTCAGTGATTTAAGAGATCGCTTGATAATAATAGTACATATTTAAAAACCTAGTTAACCTTCTTTTTACGCATAAATATTACACATATATAATTTATGTACTGAAATTATAATATTTTAACTTGTCTTGTGGGAATGCAAACTGTTTTATATTTAAGATCACTTATAATAAGAAGTTCCCGAATCAGCAAATCCTGTAAAAGTATTGAAATAAGTACTTTCAGTTGTTAAATTTAAAATACGCATACTACCATTAGATATAAGCACTAAAATTCTCAACTTCACCTCTTATTAAATGTAACATTTTAAACTGAAAATTAATATTAATATATTAAATTTAATAAAAATCCCACGTAACATTTTATTGCGGAATTTTAGTTATTAAACTCATATCGACTTTTATAGCACTTTTTATAAGTCCATTAAGGAAGCTTTATTGTTCATCTTATTGTTGCGCAACCGCAACGAAATGTTTTAAGTAGCATATAACGCTAAAGTGGAGAATTTTATAGGGCTCCGCAGCAATTGCTACAATATTTATAGCACAAGTAGTTTTATAAACCTCGAATAGAAGTTCATTTAAGAGTGTTGAGCAAAATTTTGGCATCTCTAATATAGATGCGCATGAGCTCTACAACACGTAGATGCGCATTGTATTTCTTTTAATAGTGTAATTTATGTATGATATAAGACTTATGTATGTCAGTGTATGCGTGTGTTATTACCGACCGTATTGTGTAAACAATAGGTAGGTTATGTGATGGCAACAAATTTTGCATATCGAGTTTTCGGTGGGAATACACTTCTCCATAGTAGGGAAGTGTAATTAAACTATTTTTAGCAACCTCTGTCGGTCTGTCGGTCTATCGGTCTGTCGGTCTGTCGGTCTGTCGATCTGTCGGTCTGTCGGTCTGTCGGTCTCTCCGTCTGTCGGTCTGTCAGTCTGTCTGAAATTTTATATTTAAGTTTATTTCCACCATGGCACGGATTGATCAACTTTTGGGATATATCAGGCCTCGGGAACTGCACTTTTTAGCGGGCCTGTTTTATATTTTTGACCATTTTGAAGAAACTATTCAACCGATTTCCTTGGAATTTCATATATAAGCTTCGCTCGACCGGCCGCGAAATCTCCTAACTTTTGGAAGAAATCAGGTGTCAGCAACTAGACGTTTACTACGGGCCAAATATACATTTTTGCGTATATAAAGAGAAATAATTAACCGATTTCAATGAAATTTATTATATGAATTACACGTATTAAAACAATGAACATATAAATTTTTTGGAAAGATCAGGGGTCGAGAACTGATTTGCGGGCCGATTTAACATTTTTCACCATATCTACGGAACGAATTGATGGAATTTCTTGAAATTTAATATTTGAGTCCTAGCTAACTGGCGAGCATTTTTGGGAATTCGGGTAGCACAAAGCGAAACTCTACTAAGAGCCAAATTTGCATTTTTCTAGGTATGTTAACTATAAGCTTACTAATGTCCTAGAAATTGGAAAGAAGTTTTTAAAAGACATTTTTATAATATTCTGTAACACTTTCACTTAACTAGACAATATACAATACGGTCGGTTATGTGCTGATCACATCAGATTTTTTTTTATATTAATATAACAAAAAAACAAAAACATAAGTGTTAAATAAAAACAAAAGAAAAGTAAATAAAAAGGAGAGAAGTAATAAATGAAAAAGAAAAGAGAAAAAATTAATAATAAGAAAAATATTTATAAAAGAAGAGATAAATATAAAATTTAAAATTTTTTAAATTTTGTCATTTTTTAAAATTAATAGTAATTTCTGAATCTATTCAAGAAAAAGAATTAATTTTTTTTTAAACGAAAGCAAAAAAGTTGTTGCCAAAGAAATTTTGTCGACTTTTTTTTCATTGTACCTTGAAAAAATACATCCCCATTCAAAAATATGCGGTATTATAAAAAAATAAAATAATTTTTTTTTAATGCAATTTTGAAATAAATATGAAAATTTCGTAAAAGTATGTTAAAAAGTTTCTAAGGTACTATTTTGACAAGTTTTTACCTGAATTTGAGTAAAAATTCACTTTTTAAATTTCAAAATTTTAATTCAAAAATTTACCACCATCTTTTTCATTAAAAGAATATGGCCGCAAGATGGTCTTGCTCTTATAAGATAATCATTGTTATAGGGAACCTTAAATTGTTTGAGCTAGATAACCAATGCTGATTAAAGATTATTTTTGTTGATATGGGATTTCTGACACTTTAGCCACAATATCAATCAAGCATTAGGAGATTTAGTGTTGGTGAACAGCAAAATGTCATTGCAAAAACTCAAAATGTCTGAATATTTTTTTTCAGTATTATAATCACATTGTAGTGTTGGCACTTTTTTACATGATCATTTGCTTCTTTTTAGTCTATTTTTCTTTATTTGTTATAAAAAAGAAATAAAAATCTCCAGGCTGCTTTTTGAATACATATATATATTGGATACAAAATGTGAAGAAATAAAACAGAATCTATGGAATAAATTTTCAAAGTTATATCTTGATTGAAATGTTAAAAAAAGGAATTAAAATAAGTCTTAAATTTGAAAAACTAAAGTAAATTAAAATTGTTCTTAGACCAAAAGAAAGATTTTGAAAGGGCAGCCCCTTACCCCCGCGCTAAAAGTGTGGTCTCAGAAAAGCGGTAGCACTTTCCGGAACTTTTTTGATTTTTTGTTATATTTTTAACTTCAACTTCAGGATTGGGGAGCATGCTTTTTAAATTAAGGCAGTAAGAGTTATATTATGGTATTAATTTAATTATTTTAATTTTAGAAAAATTTTGTACAGATTAAAATATATTTAATTTATTTATTTTTACTTTATCTCAATGTTACTTCAAAAATAATCGGGTTCGCGATCACTACTTTGCTTTGACAAATTGCCTGTCATTCGTTTCGTATTATGCGTCATATTATAGTAGCACTACCAATATATAAACAACCTAATCCCAATTATAGTTTTACTATGGCAAATAAATATACTTTTAAAGCAACTTTTAGTCTATAACGGGAAAGTTAATGCTCCAATAGGAAAAATTATATGTCAACATTTGTTTACCAATTTATGAAATATTGCCAAAATGTAGGAATGCTTTTGTTAGGTATTTTTTGTGCTTAACGAAAAAGTTATAAAGATTATGAAAATTATTTTTGGTCTTTGTTATATATTTTAATAAAAATTACTATGTTTGAAATTTTAAGAAAGTTGATATAACTGAAAATAAAGAGTCTGTTTCTACAACTCTAAAATGTCTTTAAAAATGCTTTATGAAAAGTTTTAACGCTATAATGTTTAATATATGTTTATTATATGTTAACATTATTTGACGTATAATAAACATTGTTGAACTGTGCACAATGTCAATAGCTTTCATTAAACTGTTTCCAGTATAATGCTTATTAAATTTTGCGTTTTGAGTTAATTTTTGAAGTCACGGAAACTTCCTAAAAAGTTTACTCTATCATTCTCTTAAAGCGTAAAATTATTAATTAGATTAATTAAATTTTTGGCAAATCTATGATTGTAGACATAGCAATCATAATAAAAACATAGTTTTTGGTGTCCCATTTCCATAACAGACTTTACTGTAAATTTGTCACCAAAAAAAGCTCAAAAGTAGAATTTCAAAAAAATCCGCTAATTATATATTACATGTACTAAAAAAGTGTAAAATTGACCAGATAGCAATATATAACTGGCAACAACATCAAAATTTTTTAAATTGTTTAAATTTTCAGTTATTCAAAGTGAAATATAACATTTCAAAAGATGCCAATGGTTGGAACCAATTGTGTTGGCCAACAACAAAGAGAGCGGCAATTTTAGAAAAGGTGTTGGCAGTAGAACGTAAAATGAATTTGTTTTACCTGTTATAATATAAGCTTGTTATACATACGAGTATTATGAGTTGTTTACTAAAAGTTTTTATATACTAACTACAAATATAAATTTTTAAATACTAACTTCTGGGATCCAATTTTAATTATAAATTTATTTTAAGTTACAACGTGATTTAAATTCGGTTCCCTCAAATAATTGGACGTATCAAAATTGTAAGAAAAAACGTGCCGGATTTAAGAATTATGAAAGTGCTGAGTTACAGATAATGGAATCAAAAGCTGAGACTGAAGATGAAACATTTCCATTACCTACAGAGAAGCCGAAAAAACCTCCAACACGTACTAGAAATTTGTTCAATACTATGTGGGAGACTTCATGTAATTTAAGTTCCAATACCGAAGTATCGTCAGTAAGTGTATTCTTTAATTAAAATATAAAAACAGAACATTAAATTGATAATTTGTCAAATTTCTGACATATTTTGTTATAATCATGTAAAAATATCGTGCATTAAGATTTGAGCTTTAACATATTGCTTAGTATCTAGAGTCATCACTTCAGGAAGAAACTGCAATTTACATGTATGATGAAGTCGTTTATCGAGAAAAAGTAGTTGAACATGAAACCAGCCAACCGCTTCAGGTACTTTAATATTTTTGTTTCTGATACAGTATTTTAAATTTTGAAATTTCGTAGGATAATTTACAAAATTCTGACATTCTCCATAAAGATCTTTCTTTAAATTTAATCTCAGAAGAAAATATCTCTAAATTATTTTCAACGATGGACATATTACTAGAAAACCAGAAAAACATGATGGAAAATCAGCTAAAAATAATAAAACAGTTGTCGAAACAACAAACAACATTAGACATGATGATGTTCAATAAATACTTCATCTATGAAAGCACAAACTATAGTGTCAACGAAAACATTTACCTTACCCTCACCATTTAGTACAATCGAAAGTTTGCAAGACCTGGAAATAAAACTTGGAAATGAGGACAATTTTCAAAGTTTTGTAAGTTTTAGTGTAGGATGAATTTATAAAGTTGAATAAATTATTATGTTCATGTAACATTTTTTATAATTAAGATTCGTACAAACATGTTTTAAGCAACGATGGAAGATGTAATGGTAAAACTGGATGCTATAAGTTAATAGATAAAATTTTTACTAGAGAACTGTTGACTAAATATTCATTTAGTGGAGGTAGTCGTGATAAGGTCATAAAATATTCTTTCAAACAATATGAAAGAATTATAAGTGCTTTTTATGCTATTGTGAAAAATGTAGATTCATCTTTTAGTTATGAAAGTTGCATTTCGTTTTTTCAAACTGTAATTAGAAATGCAACAAGAAGAATAGAAAATGACCCAAAAAAAGGCAAAATGGTAATTAGTCGTGCCTCAAGTGGACGCAATCGTACTCTAACAAATAAAAAAGATGATGAAACAAGAAAAGAAAATGAAATTGGTGAAGGTAATTAAAATCAAAAATTAATTTTCTTTTAAATTTCGTTATTAAAATTAATAACTTCTTTTTTAGGTAATAACGATAACCTTGTAACAATACAACCTCAAGAGAACAACCTCATTTAGTCTTAAAAAAGTTTATCTATGAGAATAATTTTATCTTATATTGAATATTTGTTTTCAATTTATAATTTTTTTTTAATTTGACAACTGGACTAATGCAATAAGAGCTATTTATAAGAAATTTTTGCATGAAAATTATTAATAATAATTCTTTAGGGATTGTTTCGATAATGATATTATAATATTATTATATCAGCAAATTTAGTTATTTTTATTTTTAAATTGATATAATTTACATTTACAGGTATAAAGAAGTAGAAAAGAAGATTCTAATTTTAATATGTACGACTTTAGACTTAAAATATTACTTGTTTTTAAAATTAATTTAAATTTCAGTACTGAAATAAAATACATAAATTAAAAAAAAATAAACTAGTTTTCGTTTTTGTAAATAACTTTTTGTTATAAGGTATGAAGCAGTGGAATAAAAACAGTATCATTTTGATAAGAAACTTTAGTCATTTTACATTTAATTTCATTTAATAAAAAAATGTTTTCCTCATTTTCGGCATAGTTTGATTTCAACACATTTAAGTATGAAGAAACCAATGGATAGACGAAAAAATCTTCTTGATGTTTCAAACTGGAACCTCTTATATAAATAAAACCATTTTTCTCAGTAGCACTTTTCATTCCCACAATTTCATTTTTTTTTGTCAAAAACCACTTGTTATGAGGCTCAGTACTCAATGAAAAGCTATCTAAAAGCAATTGTACCTTGTTTGCATTCATTTTTATATAAGTTGTTTTTTTATTTAAAAAAATAAAAATTATATTTTCTGTCGCAATCGTCATAAACTCTGCTGTGCGTTTAGCAACCTTTGAATCATAAAAAAAGTCACAAATAAGTTTTAGTATACCCAAAAAAATATATAACATAAACAATGTTTATGTTAAATTTAAATATAATATGTTGAATGAAATATACAAGTTCTTAATTACAAATTAATTGAAATGAAATTGATTAATTGAAATAAAATTTCCAACATAAAAACGCCAGGCACTGTAATACGAATAAAGAACTACCTGCGATAATGCACCTGTGCTAGTTCGCAACATTTTTTTTATTTGATACAGCTTATTCTCGAATGGATAGGATGTAATAGATGGCAAAATTCCAAACCGCTTAACATCATTAACAACATGGCAAAGGTTATGAACGTTGCTTGTCACGTATTGTTCACCGTAAATTTCGATGAATAATTTAATATATTGTAATAACATTTCATGGGCAACATCGAGATGATTTAAATACATATTTGAGGAGCATATCGTAACAGCACAAAAAAGTAATAAAAAGTGTTCGTAAGCATCTTTTGGCAAAACTATTTTCCTAAGTAATGCAAAAATGTTCTGTATTCTAAGGCTTTCCAGTGCGACATACAGTCAAGTCCCCTAACAGCTCTGTGTAACTCAGATGGCATTTTAACCGTTAATAACCACTTTGTTATGGAATTAGATACACTTAAAGACCATTTTGTATGATAGTTATTTCGAAAATTCCCATCTCTCCATCCAAATAAACACCTTTTCATTATTCCAAGATGTAACAAGTGCAAAGAATCTGCAACTACAAAGTCATTCACCATATCTAAAAACGGAAGTTCTTCCAACGGTGAATAACATTTATGATGATCTTCGTACACTTTTGCGCGGAACTCTTGTCAGTACGTATTTTGTTGTTAGTGCTCGGGAAAACATTACAACGTGAAGTTTCTGAATATTGACCGATAATCGTACATTTCTGACATCCATGTTGTCCATTAAAATTTGCCATACCTTGTTACAAAATACAAGAACATAGTTAATATTAATGGAACATTTACATAATTAAAAGCAAAAATCATACTTACCTTTTATAAAAGCACGCGCAGGTGAATCGCAAATAAAGCATCTGATTTTTACTGAAATTTTATAACCATTAACTTCAATTCCGTTTTCCAAAATTTCTTTAGTTTCATCTACAAACGGTTTGATAAACGACGAAATATCCTTTGGTTTACCTTTACCGCTGTAAACGCCTATTACCATTGGTGGAATGTGCGGATATTCATGTATATTATATAAAATTGGCCAAAATTCTTCTTTAGAGCTTTTAAATTTGGGTAGCACATCAATATTGATATTGATGTTGATTATAATTGAAAACTGAAGAGAACGAAAAGTTTGCCTTAAACAAAACTCTAGACCTTGGTGCCAATAACAACTGTTGTTTAAATCGGAATCAATAATTGTGTTAACTATTGCCGGTGTTTGAACCAATGTTCTTGGATCAGCTGGTAACATGTTCGGAAGTACTATATTCAACAATTTTAATAATTCTTTTAAGGCATTTTGCTTGATATTGTAAAGGATAGCCCAAACTTTAAGATTTTCACGAAATCGTACATATTTTGAAATATTATCCAAATTTATTTGATTTGTCTCGTCTTCACTATCCGAACTGCTAATTTTGTCATCATCTTGCACGTCCAGTAAATCAACGTTGTCAGTAATCATGTGGGAATCATCAGGCCATGGTCTGCTATCAGCCAAAATATTATTGTTTGCAATACAGCTTCTAGAAGCTGATAAAACATAATTTTTTGCGCATGAAGTTCTGATTTCGGTTGGTATTTCCGTAGAAAGAATTTTAATAAAATTTTTTTTTATTTTTCTATGAAATCCGCTGCTGCTTTTAATTTTTTTCCAAGTTTTTGTATATTTGTCCATTATATATTATTTTTCTGCAGGTATTTTTAAATAGCTATAAAATATCACCCACAATTAAATGTCAAACAGAGTTCAAACTAAAAACAAAAGTCAAATGATTCTTACAAGAGCGATACAGTAACACCACAAACAATACAAAAGCTATATTATTGTAAATTTAATGTTTCCTGTCAATTTGAAATTCCTATTGGCGCACTTGTGATAAATCATGGGAAAAATAAAAAGCTTTTTAAAATTATTCTTTTAATAAAATTATTAATACTACTATAGGAATATTGTAATGTTATAGCAAGGTTATTGTTCTTTTCACAATACTCTTGTTAGAAAAACATTTTTGGTTTTGTAATAGGATCCCGCAACACTACACTTATAACAACAAAACCTCAAACTTGCAGAAAGTCCTATTACAGCAATTGTTGGCAAGGAAAAAACATCTCTATAGAACCAAAACTTTTGCTTGGGAGTGTAAAGAGAGCCTTATAAGACGATTTCCAAAATTTAGCGCACTAAAATGTTACGTGGGATATTCGAATACTGCAAAGATCGATTGTTAAAAAATTTAAGTATATAAATTTAAAATTTATAAAATTTTTAAGAATTTATTTAAAAATATTCTCATAATTTTATTTTCCTTTTTTATATCTTTGCATATTTTCACCTTATGTTCATAAAATAAATATTTTCATTATATGTGCAATTTTTATCTCCAGTTCAGTGTTGAATTCAATATGCTCTGCAGTGCATGAAATTTGTAAATACTGTAGAAGAAGTGAAAAAAATTTTAAGAATTACCTTAAGAAAGTATGATATTTAGAAAATAATCATTTATTATCTAGAGTGGAAAACTACTAACGATTATCAAAAGAAAATAAAAGCTTAAACAAAAATGAACGTGAACTTCAAAAACAAAAATAATGCTTTGAAAAACGAAGACTATAAAATTTATTACTTAGGATTAACAAAACACTTTTATATCTGTACAAACCAGAAAAAGATTAACTCTAAAAAAAAGTCGTTGTCGTCGGGAAAAAGATTAAGAAAATCCAATGCGTCTAAATGAAATTTCCGAACAAATAAATTTTCTAAAGTGGAAATACACACAGAATATTTGATGCAGCGGAAACACAATATATTCTGTATTTAATGAAAATTTTTATTTATTATTCTTATTTCAATAGATCAATATTTTTTATCATCCTTGCCGTACCATTTTATTTATCGCAGTCAAACGCAATATTTCACACGCTTTTGTGTAATTGTATGTGAAATAAAATTATTTCAAATTTTTCCTAATGGAAACTTTCGCCTTATTAAATAACATTTCACAAATGTTTATAGGGTACTAGAGTTTTTGTAAGGGCAAAAATTGACTTTACTTTTTCGGATTTTACATTCTGTTACTTATTGAAGTAAGAAGTGCTACATTAAAATCCATTGATTTGACCAAAGTATTGTATTTTTAGATTTGTACTCAAATAAAAAATTTAAAACACAAATGCAAAACAATTCGCCTTACAATTTTTTGAAAAAACGTCGTAAATAAAAGAAAAATAACAACTTTAGTGCAATAAAAGAACAAATTTAGTGTTAAAAAATATTGACAATAAGTAGTGTTCAGCATCACTACTTTACTATATTTAAATTTTTTCATTTACTTGTTGCGTCTTTTTCTGACCTACGACAATTTGTTCCACATTTTTATTTCGTTAAACAATGTATTTCAATATCAACAAACATTTTATATACTTTCCCTTTACGTATTTATTCACAATACCGTTAGACGTATTTAATAAAGGTGTTTCTGCGACGAAATTGGCGTTAAGCGTATGTTTTTCAAAACAAAAAATTCATTACGTAGAAAATCTTAAATTTCAAATCTTTCTTTTGAACTCATAGAAATTATTTTATTTGATTATAAAAAGAAAACTCATTGGCAACTTGTCAAAAATTAAAATAAAACGTAAATGCGCAAGATGTTCGAATGAAATTACACAAAATATGAAAAGTCAAACGTAAAAATTTGATAAAAATTGAATTTTTTACTTTAAAATTAAATTTTGTACAATTGCGTTTTCAGAATAAAGCAATATCCTGTCACAATTTAATGAACTCATTTAATTTTAATAAATTCATTTTATTAAATAAGTCATAAAAACCCGCATTAAAAAAATTTAAATTGCATTTGAATTGTTAATTTGTGAGTTTTAAAAAAATTAATTATAGAAAAGCAAAATAAATGTGGGTGTGTAAGTTCAAAAATTATTTTGCAAAGATTTTAAACACGATTTTTAATAGAAAGAGGCGGATTCTTTCTGTTCTTCCACAATAAGATATGCAGAATTAATGTCGATAATTTAATGGAATGTATTTCTTTAAAAAATATAAAAA